TCTAATTCTATCACCACTATATTCTGAAATAATTAATTCTTAACATTTGATGTATTGTTCTTAAATTGAGTTTCTTAAATAAAAGCTTGCGCACGAAACCTCATTGAAAATAATATATAGTAAGCGATTATACGGAACGCGAGACTAAGTCGCTAGATGTACATCCAATTTAAATGAGATTGGAATTAGAGTACATGCAACCGTCTTATGCAACTACAATTTGGACTGACTGATTGGAAAATGGGTGATCAAAGGATTTGTTTTTTTTTTAAAGCATCATTTTAAAAGAATAAAAAAGCCGTGTAGTGTCGTGGGACACCCGATAGGAACGAAGTTGTTACGATCGAGTAAAACTGATTAGACACGATTTTAATTACAAGGCCATCTATGAGCTTTCATAGATGGCCTTGTAATTAAAATCGTGTCTAATCAACCACCAACTGAAACTGAACCAACTGAAAAATATGTAGGTAATAGCCGCTTGGCTATTACCTACATATTTTTCAGTTGGTTTCTAATTAAAACAATTTATACATTGGTAAAATCTCCTTGAGAAATGTCCAATACAATATTTTTTGCTCAACCTAAGAACATAAATTTTAATTTTACTATTCGATAGATGGCGTTGAATGACTGACAAGTGACAATTCAAAATAAAAAGTTACGTGACCAATTTTCGTAAGATTTTTTTCCGTCTAGCCCCCTTTCACAACGCGCGATAAGGAACTTCGTTCCAATATTTTAATTACCACATTCTGGATAATCGAGCATGCTGATAGTTTTTTTATGGTACAGGGGGGAATCGAGCAGACGTGTCACTTGATAGTAAGTAACTATCGGCGCCCATGAACACCTGCAACTCAATTTTATTTACTTGAACTTTGAATCATTACTTTTTTACATAATAATAATCATGATTAGGCATTTAGGGAACTTTCGAAAAGTGTATTTTTTTAATTGTCATTTTGATGATTATTTTTTGCTCGCTTGCAAATTCTATATTAGGACTGCCTCGGTGACGCGGTGGTAGAGTATGCGACTGATGACTTTGAATGATCTGCAAATATTTGTTTCGGAGTTTGAGAGTTCTCTATGTATAGTATGTGTGTATTTACAAAAAAAAGTACAAAGGTATTCTATATTATCTCTACTTAGTTTGAAATTAAATGGCGTTTTGTGTCAGATGTCCGAAAATATTATTATATTATATTTTCGCGTACTTGGACTACCTAAAATATCACTTAGTATATATTTTTTTATGAAGAGCATTATTTCATCTTAAATTATTTGCAGTTACCCACTTTAATCTTTTCATTAACCTAAATGTTTATTGTCTGGAGTGATGGGAGTCGTTTCTGGTACTTCTAGATCACAAAACACCGTAACTATTAAATTAGGCGCTTTTCAACACTTATAAAACCGTTTTTAGTATTTTCGATTTAACTTTTTTAAGGACTCGATGTTAACAGTTGCACAGTAGCGCCTCTCTCCTTCTCAATAGTATGAAAGGTATCTTCATACTCTTGTTAGCTACCTTAGCTACCACTGCTAGTAAACCAATATATCATTCTAGAAGAAAGTAATAAATAAAAACAATGTTCAAATAAAACAAGCTGTTTGTGTGAGCGATGAATTATCTTCTGACAGTATAAGAGAAGTGGTCCGACAAATGTACTGGCCCATTAATTTATTGTAGTTCCCTCACTTCTCATCGCTGACTCTTTTTTCATCTTTTTTATTTCATCGCTTTTTATGTGATTCGGTACTGCAACCTTTTTATTTTCATGTGCCGCCCATAAAATAAGTTAAGACAAGTTTATGTTGAACTTTGTAAGTTTTATGCTTGTGAAAGAATCGTATTGTTAAGAATATTATTCAATTTATAATACAAAGATCTAAAACCACCAGTAGCCACATTATTTCAGGTTAACGTTTTTTTTGCTAACACCATTCCTTCACTAATGAAACTCTATCAACCCTATCCTAATGGTTAGTATAACAAAATTAATGGAAACTTAATGATATTTCTATGTAGATATCTTGGGAACAGCTCCACGTAACTCAAAATCTCCTTAAAAAATTAAGTGAAAACAATTTAATAATAACATTTAGAAAAGAAACCTTTGAGTACAGATGTACGTAGCTTTAGCTCTAAAGTACGAAAGTGTTAATTCCTTTTTTTAAATGTATGCCTCGTAAATGATACATACATTTTAAAAAAGAATTAAATGGTAATTAAAAAAGAAGTTTAAATGAAACTGGTTAAAGAGTTATTACGATAGTATTTTTTGAACAAAATATTAACAAAAAAAAATCGGTTTACGCTTTACTCGTAGTGGGCGGTATTTGGACGCCTGCCAATTTCAACCACAACTTTCTCCGTGTACAACTTAACCGTTGTAGTTTGAAATGGCTGAGTGTTCAGAATGATAAACTATCATCTTATTACTATAATGAAAACGTTAATGTGAACAACTTGATTTTATTGTGAAAGGCCCGGGTATTTTTATACTATTTTATAAATCCAAACGTCTAAAATAGAATACTTTACGATGATGATGATGACGACCATATTTACTTTTAATTAACTGTAAAAGCTTCAACATGCTATGTGCGTATATGTATGTGTGTGTAAAGACTTAAGTCCGAATCAAATTTAATTATGTTTTGTTTTTTAAACTTAACCCGAAAGATACAAGAATTCCTATGACACACACACGCTGCAGCTCTCCCCTTATACATTCAGCAAGAATCAAAACTGACACTAATTCGAATGAATAAATTCTTAACTCGATACTGCGGGGAGTAGGTTGGCAGAAATGTTGTATGTTTGTGTAAGTTTAATTTACTATAACTACTTTGTCTACTGTATAAATCTAAAAGTAACTACTATTATTCAATCACTTGCCTACTTATTATACCAAAAAAACAGCCCTGGATAGTAAAGTGATACAATAATTAGTTAGGTATAAAAGTTAGGTACATTGTACATATATGCAACTTATATCAAAAATTTCTATAAATATAATATGCATACATCTTGCAAATAAGGCAAAACCATTTTAATAAATTGGTGTTTGGAATATGGCCAAATCTAAACCTGGCCTTACCCTTTGAATACGACTACCCTATGGGAGTCGAGTTTAGAAGACGAGTAAATGGTTGTCATTTAAAAGTACGATACTTATGGTGATAAGGTAAGTTTAATGTTTCAAGTTCCAAAATAGAAAAAGTAATGTCGAAAAATAATGAATACGTTTATTTTGAAAATATTTTATAAATCATTCCTTTTTCAAATAAACAGTAATTAGTTTTCGTTAATCGTCTAAAAAATGTAAAGGTCATTTCAAATCAGACAAACCGTCTTTGTAAACACAAAAGAGCCTTTGAGCAATCGAGTGAAATTTTTAGCCCATTTTAAAACGAGTGTCTAGCAAATTTCAGACATGACGCTCATAGATGCCGACGTTATTACAATCTTGTGGTGACTGCACTGAAGGTAACTCCGGCCAAGTCGCATTATGCCGCTCATTTCAACCGCTCTTATTGCAAATGAGCTCTGTGGCACTTCTGAAGAAATGCATCGGTATGAGCGTGGAAATAGACTTGAGATTGGAGATTTAATTTTGGAATAAGAATGTTATAATAACAGGTCTCAGTCAGTATGTTAAATTAACTTGACTTGGTAATTTGTATACTAAATCTCGATCTTATTGCATTTATTTTTAACATTCAAGAAACCTGAAGGAGTGAAGTGCCAAAAAATAAGTATTGATAATATGAAATACGAGTATTTAACCCAGTACTCTTTTTATACTTCTAATCTTTTTTTTGGGTTCTACCTTATCTTATTTGTACTCTTAGTAATTCTTGCAGTTTTTTTTTTCACTGACAGAGTCATGTCTACCGGTTTCTCCAGAGTCAGACTTAAGTTACTTCTAAAATAACGTATGTTCATTGTTTTACACTTTTGTAAGACAAAGTAAAAAAGTGAAGAAAACTAGGGCAAATTAGTTCGTCCAAAATTGTCCCTCTTAAGCTTCAGACTTGTTTTTCTCAGCAATTCATTTAAATATATCACAAACTATAAAAATTCACAATCATTAACATATTTATTGATTATCCTTGGTCAAATATTTACTGGGACTGGATTGTCTGTTGCATCCAGTCCTTTCCTAGTAGCCGGAACTATATGAAAGACATTTGATTTGACACTAGAAGGAAGAGATTTGATGCTATTCGAATCTAACACAATCAATGACTCGTGTTACTCAAAAATGTCAAAATGCGAACAAACCACCTCTGTCCACTACTTAGTAATTACAATGAAAGGCTTTTTTTTTTCTTTACAGATTTACTTTAAAACACACTGACATTATTATGGCACCAATTTAACAATATTTACATAATATTTATAAATAATACACACTAGAGAAAGTGGAAAAATAAATATTAAATACATCATCAACCGCACAATGAGGAGTCAACAAGGCAATTTTTATCTTTTTTTAAATTGTACAATAATAATTGTTTCTATGTTCTAACTAATAATACTTTTGACTGAACAATTTCTTTCATATTTTCAATGTATCTTTAAGTGGCTACTTTGGTCTTTTTAATCGAATTATCCTCAAAATAAAATCTTAGAATTAATAATTACATAAATGCGTAGGTCATTGTTATTGCCGAATACTTTTATTAAAATACTTAGAAATAAGACTATACTGAAAATTAGAAACTAGGGGTTTCTACCATAATTAGAAAACATTGAGAATGTTGACTATTATTTTTATTACGTAAGTCCTAATAAGGCACTTAAACTATATTAATTAGGAAAATACCACTTGACTACTTGAAATAAAAAAAATAACATTAAAGAGAGTTATAGAGAATAGTTTTTTCATCTAGCTTTTGTAATTTCTGAAATTAATTATTCTATAAATGAGGTAAATTTCAGCCCTTATCTTGGAATCCAGCCCAGTTGATTTTTTTTTGTTTTTCTATCCGTACGATCTATTTAATTGGCTCCGAGCATGTCGCCTCTTTGTTCTGAAAATGGAAAGCAGAAGGTGTTACATTAAGTTCAAAAATAAGTGCAAGTAATCAAGTTTTGAGCGTCTACAGAATACAAAAATAATGTACAATATAGATGAACGTTTTTTAATTCTCTTAGACACAAACGGTCATAATAAATAATAATAATATTTAAATAATGATATAATAAGCAATCAAGCAATGTAATTAATGTTTAAATAAAAATCATAAATAAAGTTACACCGTATCTATTGATGGCGTTTACTGAGAAGCTTCAGTTTTCACAGCTTTAAGGGACCCCAGACATATAATTTCACTTATTGCATTGTCTAGCAGTTATAAATATGACGACATAACTGTTTGTTAATGTAAGGTACATTACCAAGAACTCACATGAAGGGACAACGCTGATGCGACTTTTTTATGAAATACACTTGATGTAGCTGTCAAATACAGGTGTAGCCATTGCAATAAAAAGACAGTGTGGCCAATCGATAAGACGGGATATCGATGTAGAACAAATATTTAATTTTTTTCCAGGTTTCTTGTGTCCAGGTGTCTTTCTATCTGAGAAGTTCTTCTTTCTTAGGAAGGCATAGCAGTATCAAATTAAAATCAACATGAAGTTATATATCTGGGATGCCTTAAAGCTGTATAAAAAATCGAAACTTCTGCGTAAACTCCATCAGAAGATAGGAATAAGCCTCTTATTTTAACATTTCGTGGGTAAATAAATACTTATTGGGTTCTTCCCAGTAACTTTGATGATGCCTTTTTTATTCATTGTAGCTTTAAAATATTTTAAGAACTACTTAAAAAGATTTTAATGCCAATAAAAACGCACTTAATACTATATGAAATATACAAAGTAATACTTACTCTGTAATACTATTAGGGCGGCTTCTGTCGGATATACTATTGGGGTAACTAACACATAAGACTATTAATTTTCTGTTGCAGCTAAAGCTGAAACAAAAACACAAAACTTTAATATGTTTTTATTTTTTAATTAATGAATGTTTTTGGGGAAAAAAATATTTCAAAATGAATCATCATCATCATCATCATCATCATCAACAGCAATAGTCCACTGCTGGACATAGGCCCGTCCTTAGAAAGGAGGTTTTGTCCTACTATACCACGCTGGCCAGACGGGTTGGTATTGGGTTTCTTTCAAGTTTTCCTTCTCTTTGCAGTGCAAAATGAATAAGTTAGCTTAAAATCCACTTGTTCTACTTACTATTCGTGGCCTAAAAGCTTATTGTCACTTAATGAAGAGCCTGTTCCGTATACCGACGAAGATTCGGTACTCCAATCGTTACAGTTATAACCAGAAAGATCTCCAGTTGAAGTGCCGCCGTGCCATATCTTCTTTTCGGGCCTAAAATTTTTATGGTTGAAAATATAAATTTAGAAACATCAAAGTGACACATTTTTTTAAACTACATGAATTTTATATAGAAATGTACCGAAATATTACCCCCGGTGATAATACCATTTTTAATAGATAATCATGTTGTTATGAGTACCGCTTGAAAGATACTCCACAAGAACTCGCTTCACAATTGAGTTTACTTAGTTTTTAAAATAGTTAAAGGAAATCATATTCAATGACATTCAAGTTTCCATTTTTCTAGCTTAGTTTTTACATAAACTTAGTACTTTAGACGTGAGGCCTGTTGCAATAAAGACATGTCTAAAAGTAAAATCGAATGTGTAATTTTTTTTGCATTTTTTTTTAAATTCTGAAATATACAAATACGTGGGATTAATATTTTATCATAAGTTGATTACGTATATAGATTTAAAAAAGTTTACAGTTTTATATAGTACATACATTTTGTTGCCCTTAAATACAAAGTACCTTAATATAGGTTTCTATATCTTACCATATAAAGTCCTCTGTGAAGACATTTCTTCCTTTGAAATCGTATATATTTTGACTAGTACTATTGAAAACTGCACCGTATCCATCAAACATGCTTTCCCAAGAGTCAAAGAGTAGGAACTGTTCGAAATTCGCGTTAATAGTTTTAACCGGTAATTTCCAATAATGGTGGCCAACTAATTTCTTGAGGTTTAATAAACTGTAACAAGAAGCACAGGATATAATATTATCTTTAACACCAACCAATGTTAAAAAAACAACCTATTTAAGTAATTATATCAAATGTCACTCAAACCTATATTACAATAATTTTATTATTTATTTATAACTTTATTGTTTACAGTTAACACATAAGACATTACAAATATATAGACGTAACAATCGGCGGTAATAATAATACAATGTAAAACATAAAAATAAATTCGTTACACCTGGTGGATATATTTTCTACGTGCACAGGGTGGCAGCTTATATTCGTTTAAAATTAATCTATATAAAAATAAACAAATTAAATGCAAGTTCCTGTGTCAATATACACTTTTTCAATTACACAGTAGTTTACGAAAAACAATTAATTTATTCTTAAGTGTTAAAGATGAGCGCAAAACAATATATTATTAAAGGACGTAAATAATGTTATCGCATTCTATTTAACAGTAAGTAAAAGAATGCTTTCGACCCGAAAAATAATAAATAGAGATTATAATTACTTGCTAGCTCGGAAAGCTCTAAATGATCCCATTTTTCGACCTTGATCACGGCACTTAATGTCAGCGTCTTCCAATCTGTTCTGAACTTTTCCAGTGTAAGGCTCATCCAGAGCTACTAATAGGATCTAAAATAAAACAGAACATTTTACATTATTAACAATAACATTATTTAACAATAACATTTTACTATGAATTTTACAATTACGCTAAAATATTAACTTTCTGAACTATTTGGAACATAGGTATAAATATTTATACAAAGCCAGGAGCCTGGTAGATTTAAATATTGTACAGTTTAAGAGCAAGAGATGTATATTTTGAAAATGAAAATGTCGACATGCAGTAAAAGTCTAATAGAATATTTAATTTTAGCTTTAAAATCAAGTCAAATCTAAAGCACTTTTTTTACTTTGACACGTATGATAGTAGATGATAAAATCTCACATACTAGATTTACAATAAATGAGAACTTACGCTGTGGCCTTTTATTGGAGGGATCTGGAAAAAGAAATTATGTTTTTGTCTTATGTAGCTACAATTGGCAACTGGCAAAAATATATTATTGTGTAGGAAATAAGCAAGTTTGATAATGAGGGATATCCCCTGAAATGTTCAGCGTTCATGTTCAAAAATACTTGTTGATTTTAAAAAGTTACGAAAAAAGGTTTCGCAGAAGACCTAAACCCCTTGTACGGCGGCAAGCTGACAGTTAATTAAAATTGCCGCCGGCATGGTTTTAACAATCCTTAAAAGCAAAAACTACATACCGTTAGGATAGAAAAAATACCAATGGCATGTCTAACGAGAACACTCACAATTTTATGAACCTCTGGTAGTTTCCGAGTTGGTGGTCGGTAAGGCCGAGGTTTGCTTGTAGGCGTTGTCACCACCTGCGAAGTATTGCAATCATTTTTAAGATAACTCTAAACACTGTTTAGAGGGATTTGATAAAAGGCTTTTGATGGAAAAAATTGCCTCTAGATTCGTCACAGGCAATCTACAAAACAATTTAAAAGGTGATGATAGCAAAGCCTTATTTTAACAACGCATAGAATAAATGATATTTATTTCTGTAAGTAAATCTTTTCAGATATTTTTACAAGTCGGACTTTACAGCTAGATGGAGCCGGCATTTCCTAAGACTCACTCTGGGAAGAAACGCCGAAACAAACCACAGAGGTGTCTTTTTTAAGTCCGTAAACAAAGTAAAATAAAACTGTGCGAGTACAGTATAGGGTCTGGATGGGCCTTTTGAGGAAAGGACCATAGTTTTGAGTCAACCTGTCCATGCAGACGGCATACAGGCTCCAGCCATCATGTAGCCTAACCGATTTTGGTCAAGATCAACGACCCGAAGCATGACACTACCGCCAGCAGGACATTTGGGTAGGCCGTGGAAACACTCAAAACCACCAGAAAGATAATAAAATATGAATTAACATTACAAGCCTACACTATACTCACATTTACATACTTACACAAGAAATATTTTCCAAATCAAATTCAACGAAAAATAAACAAATTACGAAATACACAAAAAAAACAAATTGTCCATCTCTTTCAAACTTAACAACAAAGATGGGAACGTAAATGTGGGAGTGAGCAGCATCAATCAAATTTGTCGTCTAAATGACCTGCAATAGTGCAGTAAGCCTTTTTATACAGTTTTAGCTTTACTAAAGACTTAATTCTATAGCTTTACTTAATTCATGGAATTTGCTCGTAACTATTGTAAAATCGCACACCCTAACAACGAAAAGACTTGCTTACTTTTTGTAGTCTAGTGTTTGGTAACACGAGTTTATCTTTATTTCTAGTGTTTATTTTATGAATGTCGCTAAACTTTGTGGATAAATGATTATTTTTCTTTACATACACTAAATTTTCATATATGTATTGAGATCTTCTTCTTAGCGTGTCGATGACAATTCAAATTGAGTCGGCCCAAAATTTGGCGACGAGTTTGGCACTTTCAGTAGCCTCCATCAGTTCCTGTGATGTGCAAGTAACAGGACAGGCTGGACACGATATCAAGTGCCCCATAGTTTGTGGGGCAAGACCACATTTACACTCCAGGGCAGAGTCATCTATGAATCTCCACCTGAACAGGTTTTCTTTGCTTCGGCCTACCTGTGTCCGGAGTCTGTTTAGAGACTTCCAGGTCAGCCATGGCAACTCGTGTCCAGGTGGAAGATTTTCGGCAAGTGGCACAAATGGGTTGGGTAAGGAAACGCTATCTTGCCACAACTTAAGTCTTTCCTTATAGCGTTCACCAGTGAGCGGGGGTACGCACTTTAAAAAGCTGTTGCGGCTTTTCAGCCTTTGCGGTACTATGATGTTATTGTGTAGGGGGTGTCTAGCGTCGGAGACCATTTTGGCTCTTTCGCTAGAGCTCGCCACCGCTCTGCGAACTACTGGTGGCGCTATGCCTGCCTGTGGATACAGCATCTGTATCGGGGTCGGCTTGAGGCAGCCAGTGATTATCCGGCACATTTCATTCAGTGCTGTGTCCACTAACTTTGCATGGGCTGAACGACCCCACACAGGGCACGTGAATTCACCCGCAGAGAAAGATAGCGCCAACCCAGTAGTCCGCATGACGTGAGGCGAAGCACCCCACTTTGAAGACACTAGTCGCCGCAAAAGACTATTGCGAGAGTGCACCTTCTGCTTAATGTTATTGCTATTATTGCTATGTTATTTTATTTTATTCTTGCCGAATGTTAGAGACCTGTCCAGAGTAACACCCAGATATTTTGGAAAGTTGCTGTGCTCTATTTATACTGGGGTATAAATAGAGCACAGCAACTTTCCTGTGATGTGCATCCTTAACATCGTTTGGGGTGGGCCCCAAACGATGTTAAGTTTGTGGCTCGCCTCTCTGTTGCGAAGATGGAATATGCACGTCTGCGTTTTGCTCGGATTGGGCTTGAGTGAGTTAGCGTGGTAGTAAGTGGCTAAGTCACCAAGAGCGTTTGACAAGGACACCTCAACCTCTTCAAAGGTGGTGGCTTGGGAGGTAAGGGCAAGGTCGTCTGCAGGGGTGCTAGGCTAGAAAACCTCCCCGTGGTGCACCCTGGAAACGCTGGCGATGGTACTGTTTCCTCCTTGACCTCTTGGAGGAGAGGATTATCGGTAGCGGCTAATATTCTAGCAGAAGAGGTAGCCGTTCATCGGCTCTCGGGCAAGGCCTGGTCCAGCAGGGTGGGCGTGTCTGCCGGTTGCCCTGCTGGCTCTTCGCTCTTCGGAGCATGGAGGAGGAAACCTCGGTAAAAAACCGGATGGCGGGGCCCTGTAGGGGCCACAGTTTCTCCGCTGACAGCGGTGGAGAAAGGAGGACGGGCTCGGCGTGTACTGACACTACCACCGAGCAGGCAGGGGGACGTAGTCTCCCTGTCAACCGTCGGCATATCGTAATCCCGAGAAGAGCGCTGTGGTTAAGTCTCGCGGCTCTGATCGGGGGCGAGGGTCTTGGCTTAACCGCCCGGACCGCGAGGAAGATAACCTCTCTAAAAAATTCCCCGAATCCCGTGTTCTGGTGCGTGGCCAGGGGATGCATGGCTGATGGGAAGTTCAGTCTCGAGCGCACTCCAAGCCGAGGTACGTGCGGACCCCTCGGTTGGGTTAAAAACTTACGCTTGCCCGGGTAATGGGGGATCTCTGCCCGGGTGGACCTGTATTTCTCCCCCACTCGTGGGATCAATTATGCAATCTTTAAATAAAACTACCAAGAAACGATCGGAAACAAACACACAACAGACAAAGGCAAGCCTAACGGACAAGGAAGCAAAGGCAAGGAAGGAAAAGAAGAACAGCGGAGTGGATGGGTCGTCCACTGAGGGTGAGGTGGCGTCGGGAACGCCTATCACGGTGGGGCTCCCAGAAGTCAGTCTAACGCTGGTTTCTGGGAGCCGAAGAGCATCAGATCGGCTGCGCTCCGGATCCGCCGTCGATCGTCGGATGGCACGGAGGCCATGGAGGCGGAGCGAAGCGACAGCCGGAAACGCGGACGCTCCAGGGACGAGGAAACGGATACGTCCCAGGAGATGATGCCACCAAAGGTGGCAAGCAGCCGCCGAGGGAGGGCACGTAAAACGGCCCCGGTCTCGACCCCGTCAGGCTCCGCGTTCTCAAACGCTGAGTCGTACAGAAGCGTACGGGTGGACGGCGAGGCCGTAGCGGAGGAGGAGATCGCGGATCTCCTGCTCAAGGTTCGGGAGCCGGTGGGGGGGAAATGCCCCCCAGACTCCCGTGTCCGTGCAGGAGAGGGCGAAAGCGGCGGTGGCCGTCATCCACAAGGTGGCCACCAAGTCCGTGAACCTTAAGGGCTCGTTTGTGAGGGCTCTTAAGGACTCCTCCTCCGCTTTGTCGGAGGTCGTGGAGGGCCTAGTGGGCGACGTTTCGCGCCTACAGGTGGCCAACGAGAGGCTGACGGAGCGGGTGAACGAGCTGAGTGCTCAGTTCGCCCGCTTCCAGGCGAACCTCCCCGAGCGGGAAGCCCCGTCCGCGTCCCAGCCTGCCCCTACCACCAACTCAGGGGCATTTGACTCCCGACTGCGGGAAATCCTCATCGCAGTTGGGAATATGCTGGACGGACGCCTGGCTGGCCTGGAGGCGAGACTGCCCCCTGCGCCGATTGTGCGCCCCCCGCTCGCGTCAGCACAGCGGCCTAAGGCCGCCGCTCCGACCACGCTCCCCGTGGTGGGAGGCCGCGTTTCTTACGCGGCGGCGGCGTCTGCCCCTACTCCATCGGCTCCACAAAAGCCGAGGAGGGGGGCCAAGGCACCGGCCAAGGCAACGTCCCAGGCGCCGGCCAAGACGGGGCCTAAAACGGCGCCGAGGAGCGGAGTGGCATTCCCTCCGCTCCCCACTCCGACACCCCTGCCGGGCCCCTCCGCACCTGCCCCCTCCAACGAGGGTTGGCAGGAGGCGAGGGGCTCCAAGAAGTCCCGAAGGCGGGCCAGAAGGGCTGCCCAAAAAGCAGCCCAAGCCCTGCCTTCGCCACCGGTGGCAACGGCCTCTGCAAAGAGGCCGCGGAAGCTGCAGCCGCCCAAAACCGCGGCTGTAGTGGTGACCGTGTCCCCGAAGGCGGCTGACGGCGGGCTGTCCTACGCGGCGGTCTTCAAAAAGGCCCGGGACAGCCTCGCCACCGATTTTGGGACGGTGGGGGTCAGGATGCGCCTCGCCCAGACGGGAGCTCGAGTACTCGAGTTCCCTGGGGCTGAAGGCGCAAAGACGGCGGACTCCTTTGCCGAGAGGCTGCGGGGAATATTTGCGGCCACAGATGGGGTCAGGGTCGCCAGGCCTACCAAGTGCGCGGAACTGCGCATCTCGGGCCTGTACGACTCAGTGACGGCCGAAGATGTCCGCGCTGTAATCCGGGAGAAGACGGGATGCAGTGCGGACAACGTCAGGGTCGGCACCATCCGCCCCGGTCCAGGAGGGCTTGGCGCCGTGTGGGTCAGCTGTCCCGTAGCGTCGGCCAAAGTATTGGCCGACGCCGGCAGGCTGCTCATCGGTTTCGTGAGCGCCAGGATCACAGTCCTGGCGGCGAGACCGATGAGGTGTTTTAAATGCCTGGCCACGGGACACACGCGCGTCAGGTGCGATAGCTGTTTCGACTGCGGCGGACTGTGTTTCCGCTGCGGTCAACCGGGGCATAAGGCGGCAGAATGCTCTGCCGCCCCTCACTGCCCAGCGTGTGCGGCTGGCAATAAGCCCGCCAATCACCAGATGGGGCAGAGAGGCTGCAAGCCTCCCCGCAGTTCTCGGCAGACGTCAGGGGCTAGCCAGTCGACCCAGGTTACCCCCGACGTCAATATTGCGTCGACGTCGTCGCCCATGGAGGAGGTTGTAGAGACGATCCAGTAATGGATCAAGTCTCCAACCT